AGTATTTAGTGGGGATATGTTATTTTGGTTTTTCATGTTGTTATTTTTTCTCTGTGATTTTGACATGTGAATTTCTTTTGTAGTTTCAGATGCTGGTCTAGAGAAGCTGGTGGCTGTGCTACCAAGAGATGCAAAGGCAGATGGGGATGGGAAGTGTCACCAAGGGCTCCTGGGGACTGCACTGAGGAGCTTGGTTGGTCTGGATGAAAAGAATCAGGCAGAGGAAATGTCAGCCTCTGTAGCCAGGAAAGAGGCTGGGGTGTGGTGCAGGCCCAGGGAAGTAGTGGGAGGTGAGGGCGGGGCCAGGCCCAGAGTGCCCCTGGGGACCCGAGAAGGCAGTGAGTTGGTCTGTATGCAAAGGATCAGGAAGCAGAGGTGTTTCCCGGGTGCCTGGGGCGCCCGAACAAGGAATGGGACAGGACCCAGAGGAGGAGGAGAGACGGGCGGGCGGGGGAGATGGGAGGGTGAATGAGGCTGGGGGTGTCAAGGAGGGGAGGGCATGATGGACTTACCCTGGAGAGATGCCTGCGGGTACTGCAGGCCCAGGGAAGCAGAGGGAGTTCAGGCACTGTGTGCATTCTTTGTCTAATTTTGTAATTATACCTTCATTTAGTTTCTTTCTGTTGGCCCTGGGGTATAGTTGTTCCTTTCTCCATTCTTTGTATTCCTTCAAGTATTCTTCGAAGGGTTGGTTTTGTGAACATGTATTCTTTCAGCCTATTCATATCCTGGAAGATTTTTCTTTCCCCTTCAACTGTAGTAGATATTTTTGCTGGGTAAAGTATTCTGTTTTGGCATCTGTGGTCATTTAGAACTGAAAATACCTTGGTCCAGGCTCTTCTGGCTTTCATAGTTTGCATTGACAAGCCAGCTCTATTTCTGATGGGTTTTCCTTTATGTGTGAGTTTTTGCTTTTCTTTTGCAGCTTTTAATATTCTCTCTCTGTTCTGTACATTCACTGTTTTTACTATGATATGCCATGGTGAGTTTCTTTTCTGGTCATGTTTATTTCGTGTTCTATGTGCTCCTTGTATTTGTATGGGGATGTCTCTCTTTAATTTTGGGAAATTCTCTTTTACAATCCTGTTTAAGATCTGATCAATACCATTAGCCTGAAGTTCTTCTCTGCCTCTCTGCTTATGATGCATAGATTTGATCTTTTCATGGTGTCCCACATTTACTGCATATTCCATTCCTGTGTTTTTTAAAATCATAATTATTGCTTGAGTGGTCCAGTTCTTCAACTTTATTATCCATTGTTAGATATTCTGCTTTCCATTTCATTCTTTCCCTGTTTTTTCAAGTTGGATTATTGAGGTTTTCACTTCCTTCTTCATTTCAGCCTGAGTTTTCTTCAATGTTTTATCTCTTTTTTGAATTCAGTCAGAAGTTTATCCCTATCTTCCTTTAGTTCTTTGATATGTTTGTGTGTTCTTTAAATTCATTGACTTCCTTCCTCATGTTTATGTTTGTTCTTTTTTTTAAGTTTAAATTTATTTATTTTTTTGTCTTTTTGTCTTTTTTTAAATTTTTTATTTTTTTAGAAGAAGCATTTCATTACAGCTTTAACATACTCATTAACAGTTTCCAGAGCAAAGATACATCTCTTTCAAAAGTGGCTATAAAATTTTTAGGTTCGCTGTTGAATTAATACAGTTTTTATACAATATTGAAGTCAGTATATGCCCTGTAAGATATAAACGAGTGAGTTTTTAACCTTTAAAAAAAGATCTCCATTTCATTTTAAAATATACTGTTTCTAACAGAAAGACTCATTGTTTTTGCTAATAACACTGAGATGTTGGCGCATGCATCTTTAACTGTATGTATCTGATTATTACTAGTCATAATTGGTTGCACTCGGATCCTTGGCACCTGTGTATGTTGATATGTTTGTTCTTTTAAAATTCTGTGTCATAGGTTATTTTTAGGGGATTCACCTTGTAGACCTCCCCTATAGGAATGTTGGAGTTTGGTGAGAGCATACTATTTTGCTTTTCTCTGCTATTATTTTTCTGTCGTGATTTTGGTATGTGGATTTTTTTTTTTTTGTTGATTGTGATTCTGGCATGAAACTCAAGTCTTCTTTTGTTGAATTGAAGTCCGCTTCTGTTTGCATTATTGGTGTGCCTTGCTTGTCTTCTTATTGGGTATGTAAAGCTGCTTGGTCTAGGTTTCAGGTTCTTTCAGATTTTATATTGGAGGGAGCTGATGGCTTCAGATCAGCTACACAGAAGTACCCATAGAGGCCCAAGTCAAGCTCTAGTCAGGTACACTCAGGCTTTTTTCAAGTCTGGACCCCTACTAGCAGGCACTTACAGCTCAATTTGTGAAATTTGCTAAGGGGAGGCCAGATTCAGGCACTTTCAGGCAGTCTGCTGAAATCTGGGCCCCTGCTGTAGGGCAGAGAGGTCTAGCACTGGGGAAGTGAGAGGGGCCTCATGTGGTCCTAATGCCAGGGGTTGGGCACAATAAGATTTGGAGAAGCTCACTGCTAGGTGGTCAGATCCAGGCACTCTCAAGTGGTCTTCTAAGTCTCCAAATACTATTTTTATTTTATGTGTATGAGTATATTGTCTGTATTTCTGTTAAGTGTACCCATGTCATCCAGTGCCTGAGGAGATCAGAAGAGGGTGTCAGATCCACTGGAACTGGAGTTATGGATGGTTGTTAGCTACCATGTGGGTGTTGAGAATTCAAATCTGGTTTTCTGCAAGAGCAGTTAGTGCTCTTAACTGCTGAGCCATCTCTCCAGCCCTTCCTTTACTTTCTAATCCCTACTTTCTTTAAAGTATAACCATTACTTTTTTCTTATTTATCCTTCCAGAAAAATGTTTTCATCCGCAATATAGGCACACAATTTTCTTGGGGGAAATGGATTTTTAGAATTGAGTTTTAATTATTACTGTGTATTTGTGCATGCTTTGTGAGGAAGCATACATGTGGATGTCAAAGGACAACCTTGTGGAATCTGTTCTCTCTTTCCATCTTTATGTGGGCTCCAGGGATCAAAATCAGTTTGCCAGGCTTTCACAGTAAGTGCCTTTACTCACTGAGCCAACTCACCAGCTTGAAAAATGCAAGATCCAATTCTGTCTCATAGACAAATTGTCACTTGTCCATGCAATTCATTCTCTTTAATGGTTCCATAGTGTTTGCTGGTGTGGATCACTATTAATCATTTTTATTCTGATGAGCATATTTGGTCGTAGGTACTTAATTTGCTAATCACCACAGTGACTTGCATTACACAAAGCTTTATGTGCTTTTGCAAACATCACAAGAAGTTACAGGAAATGTGTCCAGATAAAAGGGAAAAAAGAAAATGAAGTCTCATCTGGTGGATTGAGGATTGCATAAAAATAATAACAAAAAGATGTTCTGTTGAATAGCAGTAAGTTAAAATTTTTCTCTTCCTAGGCCTTTCTTAGAATGGGTTGAGTATTATGAAGTAAAAACAATATTGCAATGTCAAGGTAGATCTCATGATTCTGTGAAGGTGTAAAGTAAACTGGCTGAATTCCAGGTCGAATAGTATTCTATATGTTTCAGAGTAATAACCAGCAAAAGATCAGGTAAAATTTGATCATATAATTTTATATTTTTTTGTTTTAGGAAAGCCAAAATGCCAAATGGACTTCTAGATGGGATTACATTTTAGAGACTATATCTGACAACAGTATTCAGTGGGTTAGGTAAGTCTTTCACGAAATGAAGAAAACAAAAGTTTCAGGGTGGCAAACAAAAATAAGAATTACCTTCTCTTTTTTGTGGGGGGAGGGTGGTGCAAGTGCATGGAGGATTAAACCTGAGATATTGTACGTGGTTGGCAAACATTCTACCACTGAGCTGTATATCCTTAGCCTATAAATATTTTTGTTGTTTCTCTTTCGAGCCAGGGCCTCTTGTCCCATGCTTGCCTCAAACTTAATATGAGGGTGGTCTTGAACTCCTGATCCTCCTGTTTCTTCTTACAAAGGGTCACGACTACAGATGTGTGCAGCCATGTCTTGATAATACCTATTTTTACATTTTATTTATTATTTTTATTTTGTGCATATGAGTGTATTGCCTGTGTGTATATATGTGCATCTATGTCATGCAATGCCTGAGGAGGTCAGAGGAGGGTGCTGTAGTTCCCCTGGAACTAGAGTTATGGATGATGGTTAGCCACCATGTGGATGCTGGGAATTGAAAACCCCAGTCCTCTGTAATAGCAGCCAGTGCTCTTAACTGGTGAGCCATCTCTCCAGCCCCCCAATAATACCTATTTTTTATGTTAAGGTATTTTCTCATTATTGATGATACTGAGTGATGTTTCTTTTGGAGTAGTTTTCTCTCTCCTTTTCTTCTACCTTCCCACATATATGGTAAAAAGGAAAAAAAAGTACTTTACATATACTAATGTTTCTGCTGAAGTAAAAGAAATCTGTAATGCCTTTTGTTTGTTTGTTTTTTGGTCTTTTTTGAGACAGGGTCTTTCTGTAGCACCAGCTGGCCTGGAAATCACTATGTAGACCAGGCTGGCCTTGAACTCACAGAGATCTGCCTGTCTGTGCCTCCTGAGTGCTGGGATTAAAGGCATGTGGCACCACACTGTGGAAGTGGATATTATACAATGAATGAAAATCAGAGCTGGGCATGGTGACACACACTAGTAAACCCAGCACATGGAAGACAGAAGCAGGAGGAAGAAAAGCTGTAGAGAAGCCTGATATCTTGTAGGAAAGAGGAAGGGAGGGAGGGGAGAGAGAGAGAGAGAGAGAGAGAGAGAGAGAGAGAGAGAAGGGAAGGAGGGAGGTGAGAGAGAAGGAAAGAGAGAACATGAGTATAGTTTACTGTTTAGTCTTATATATCTTTTTCTTACTGCACAGTAACTTTTCTAGAGAAATGTTCTGTTTATGAAGCACCCCATTTCCTATCATGTCACACATACTTTGAAGTCTTCTCAGAAGGAAATGCTTATTTTCTTTTACATATTATTTTATTACATATGTATATTTTCTAGTTTTTATTTATTTTTTATTTTATTTTATTGAGACAGGGTCTCCCTGTAGCTCCACCTTGCCTGGAACTCTTTATGTAGACCAGGCTGGCCTTGAACTCACAGAGATCTACCTGCCTGTGCCTCCTGAGTGCTGGGATTAAAGGTGTGCACCACCACACCCGAGTTATTTTCTGATTTTTAAAGACAGTCTCTTAGACCAGGCTAGTCTGAAATTCGCTATGTAGACCAGGCTGATCTTGAACTTGCAATCTTGCCTCAGCCTCCCAAATGCTGGTGTTAAAGGTGTGTATTTCCAGGGCTGGAGAGATGGCTCAGCAGTTAGCAGCACTGGCCGCTCTTGCAGAGGACCCAGGGTTGAGTCCCAGCATCTACATGGTGGCTAACAACTACTGCAACTCCTGTTCCAGGGAATCTGATGCCCTGTTCTTCTGACCTTGAGTGTTGCATGACACGGGTGCACTTACATAGATGTAGGCAATACACTCATACACATAAAATAAGAATAATAAAGTATTTTTTAAAGGTATACATTTCCATGGGTAGATTATTCTTTTGAGATAGTGTCTCACTATGTACTATAAGCCAGTCTTGAAAGTTGCCATCCTTGGGGCTGGAGAAATGGCTCAGTGGTTAAGAGCACTGGGTGCTTTTGTAAAGGACCCAAATTCAGTTCCCAGCACCTACATGGCAGCTAACAACCATACATAACTCCAGTTCCAGGGGAATCCAACGCCCTCTTCTGACCTCTGTGGACAATTCATGATACCTGTACACTTACATACATGCAGGGAATACACTCACACAAAAAATGTAAATAATAATTAAATTATTTTTAGAAGGGGGCTGGAGAGATGGCTCAGCATTTTAGAGCACCAGCTATTCTTGAAGAAGACCTGGGTTGAAATCCCAGCACCCACATAGAGACTAACAACCATCTGTAACAACCATCCAGTTCCTTGGATGCCTCTTCTGACCTCCATGGGCATTGCACAACATGGGTGCACTTACATACATGCAGGCATAAAAATAAGAGATAATTTCCATCCTCCTGCATACTGGGATTATAGGCCCATGTCACTGCTCTTGACTTATTTACGTGTGTGTGTGTGTGTGTGTGTGTGTGTGTGTGTGTGTGTGATACCTTGTAGGAATTAGAAGAGAGATGTATCATGTCCTATTTATAAATACATGTTTTTATAAAGAGTATTTTTTACTCTTTGAAAGTTTTATGTAATGCAGTTTTTATCATATTCATACCCTTTCCACCTCCCCTCTTATATCCACTCCACCTCTCTACAAGCCTCAATTCATGTTCTCTATTATTTTAAGGTCTATCATATATTTTTATTTTAAATCAACACATAGTAATTTTACTTATGTATAGGCTACAGTGACACATTTCAGAGTATGTGTATAATACATAATGATCATATTCAGGTAGTTGGAATATCTGTTATCTCAAATATATGTATATATTTATGTACAGAGAGATATAGATAGATAGATAGATAGATAGATGCATATACATAAATATAATTAAAATCCTTGCCTAACTTTTAAAAATATACAATAATTGTTGTGAGCCACAGGTATTCTATTGTACTATAAAACATTAGAATTTGCTTCTCAGTTATCTCAGTAAAACTGTACCAACACTTTCATAGATTCTGGGAAAGGTTTTGTTTCTTAGTCATGTATAAGTTTGGATAATGGTCGAATAACAGAGGGCATTGCTTTTTATTTTTGGATTTAATTTTGTAAATTTCAGAAATGATAATAAGAGTTGTTATATAAGAAGCCCTTGGAGTTTTTGCCCTGAATCTCACAAAGATTCAAACTATAGTCCGTTGGCTAAGATGTCTGTAAGCCATTAGTTCTTCCTGTCATGCCTGAACTTTGGCTCATAATCCATGCTCCAGAGTTAAGTTTGTGATACTGATCTTACTTATCTTTGGAAATGGACTTTTTATTTAATTTGTTTTAACCACAAGACTTATGTAAAATCAAGCCAGCAAAAATTCCATTATGGATGGGGTAGGGACTCATGAAGTCTTGCTGCTATCTGGGAAGCTACTGGAAACTGATGGCTTCTAGTGTGAGGAAAGCGCCCGTTATTTTGCAGGGATGCAGCCCGTGAAAGGTCTAACCATGCTCTAGTACATGGTTCTATACCCAAGCACAAACAGGCAGCAGTCAGTAGACTCAGTGGGTTTATAAAAAGAGCACATGAAGTTGGGAGGGAAGAGTGGTGGTGGTGGGAGGAGTAGGAGAAGAATTGGAGGAGGTGGAATAGGGGGCAGATTTGGTCAAAATACATAAACATGAAATTCTCAAAAAAGAAAAAGAAAAAATATTTTCACGTTTATTTGTGTGTGTGTGTGTGTCTGTGTGTGTCTGTGTGTGTGTGTGTGTGTGTGTGTGTCTGTGTCTGTGTCTATGTCTGTGTACAACCATGGCACGCATCTGGATGTCAGTGGACAACTTGTGAGATTTGATTTTCTCATTGCACAATGAATGTGAAACTTGGGGTTCTAACTCAAGTTTTCAGACTTGACAGCAAGTGCTTTTACCTGCTGAGCTATCTTGATGGCCTGACTTCTTTAAAAAGTATTATTAGGCCAGACTTCATGGTGCATGCCTTTAATCCTAGCAAAGGCAGGTGGATCTCTGTGAGTTTGATGACAGCCTGGTCTACATAGTAAGTTCTAGGCCAGCCATGGATATACAATAAGACCCTGTCAAAAACATTTATTAATCCTTCAAGAATTTTATACAATGTATTTTCATTATATTCACCGCAACTCTTCCCACATCCATCCCTCTTCCCTAACCATCGGACATTGTATCCTCATTTTTTTTTTAAAACAATCAAGTCCAATTTGTGCTACCCATATATTCCTAGGTATATGGCCATGCACTCGAGTGTGGTGGACCTACCAGGGGCTATACCCTTCAAGAAAATTGACTCTCCCTTCCCAGCAGCTGTCAATTGCCAGTTACTCCTCAGCCTAAGAGTGAGTTCATGCCCACCTTCCCCCTCCATGCTGGGATCTTGTCTGGCTTGAACTTGAGTGGGTCTTGTGCATGTTGTCACCACCACTGAGATCACATGTGCAAACCTATTTGTTGTGTTCAGAAATCACTGTTCTGTTGTAGTCATTCACTGTCTCTGGCTATGATGGCCTTGCTTTTCATTTTATGTTTGTTGTTTGTTTTTGATTTTTGAGACAGGGTCTCTCTGTAGCCCAGATGGTCTGGAACATGCTAGGTAGACCAGGCTGGCCTTGATTTCACAGAGATCTGCTTGTATGTACTTCCCGAGTGCTGGGACTAAAAGTGTGTGTCCCACACCCAGTGGCCTTACTTTTTTAAAGAATTCTAAAACAAAACTGGGTGTGGTGGCTCAGGCCTATAATTCTATCACTTCAAGGAGGATCATTCCATGTGTATCCCAGGCTGGCCTCAAACACATGATTCTTCTGCCTCAGCCTTCTAAGTGCTAGAACTAAAAGAATGCACAAGGATGTCTGATCTAGATGCATTTAGTCTTTGGTCTACATTTAAATTTAGAAACTTGATGGACTAAATTATAATTTTGAATGTTTCTTTTAAAAATATTTTATTTTATTTTATTATGTGTATCAGTATATTGCCTGCATGTATGTAAGTGCCTCTATGTCATGCAGTGTCCTTGGAGGTCAGAAGAGGGTATTGGATTCCCTGGAACTGGAGTTACAGACTGGAGTTAGCCACCATGTGGGTGCTGGGAGTTGATCCTGGGTTTCCACAAGAACAGACAGTGCTCTTAACTGCTGAGCCATCTCTCCAGCCTCAATAATTTTGAATGATGTCTGTCTTTTTATGTGCATGTACTTTTTTGTTCAGTGTTCAGTTAAGACACCTATATCACACGCTCTCCTTCCAAGGCTCAGGGATCATTTAAGAAGAGGGGGCAGAAAGTTTATAAGAACCAGAGGTGGTAAATGAATACAAGGGAACTGTGTTGTCTGAACACCAAAGGGTAGTTGCTTATATGAATCCACAGCACTTAAGAAGGCATGCACAAGGCCAATCCAAGCCCAAACCAGAGAGGGTCTCAAAATGGATGGGAGTGGTGGGACGGAAGCCCTGGCCCAGCCCTAGGTGAGACTCTATTGGCAATTGATAGATGGTGGGAGAAGGAGAGTCAGTTTTCCTTATTGGTGTGATGCCTGGTAGGTTGATCAGACTCCACGGATAGACCCACACCCAAAAGCATTTAGGAAACAGAGATTAGACTCCATAAACCTTCCAAAATAAAATAAAATAAAGAAATAATGGAGGACATGAAGTTGGGGAAGAGGGAAGTAAGTATAGAGGGAAGAGGGGTCTGACCATGATCGAAATACACTGAAATTCTTGAATCAATAAAAATAAATTTTGAAATCAGTTTTGATTTACAGGCACAAGACTTAAAAAGATTTGGCCTGTTAGTGTCACATCATGAGGTGGGGAGACCCATGAGTGCCACTCCAAGGGTCTAGTACTGTAGACAAATAGTGGTAGCTAGGGAGGAGGGGCTCATGAAGCCCCACCCCTCCTCAAGTGTCTGTAGGCAATTGATGATTTCTAGGGGAGGGAGAATTATTTTCTTCACTGGTGCCTCCTGTAAGGTGTAAGTACTCCTGTAAATAGTCCCTCACCCGGGATCTTATAAGCAACTCTAATGAAGCTCATTGGGTCATCAAAATGAATGAATAGATAAGTAAATGAAAAATAAATAAAAGTAGAAGAGAGACTAGGTGGGAAGAAAGGAGGGGGTCAGTGATAGTGGAAAGGGAATAAAAGTAGACTAGGTGAATATGGTGAAAATGCATTAACATATGAAATAATACAATTTAAACATTTAACTTCTCAAAAACCTGTAAAACAGCTAATTAAAAATAAAAAAATCTTAAAATATTTTATTACTTTTATTTTTATTGTGTGGTAATGCATGTCATGGTATTTGAGAGAGGATCAGAGGACACCTTGCAGGAGTCTCTTCTTGTCCTTCAACTGTGTGGGTCCCAGGGATTGAACTCAGGTTGTCAGGCTTGAGGGCAGCCACATTTACCTACTGAGCTATTTTGCCAGAAGGCCTAACTTCTTTTTTTTCTTTCTGAAATTTTCTAGTATCATAGATTCCTTTTTTCTGGTTCTTGCCTTGTGTGGACTTGTGGTTATCATTATCTTGAAGAGTATCTGTCAACGTAGTACCAAATATAATCATGCAAGAACTTTGGTAACTAAAAGTGCACATTTAAAATTCAAATATGTAGCATATATTCTGCTTAGTTATCAGTGGTACTTCTGCTTAGAGTATAGCACCTTGAATATAACATAATTTCAGTACCTAGTAATTTTGAATATTGTCCCAAGTTAGGAAGTATAGAGTTAAATAGGTTGTTTAAAGGTGCAAATAACTTTATTCTAGAATTGTTTGTCATCAACTCTGGTTATATTTTTATGTGTTTCTAAAGACTCAAGATATCATTATAAGACACTTTCATTGATTTGAAACATGAGAAAAATATACCAAACTTTGAAAAGTTCTGTAACTGAGGTTATGCTATTTTGTCTCTTGTACAGTGTTTTGTATGTCGATTAATTTCAAATTTCTAGAAATCTGTTGTGTTCCTTAGGTACGTTAAATCATTTTGCTTTCTTCATGAAAAGTAGAAATTGTGTGCTTTATATAATTACCATACCCCTCCAATGCAAAACGTAGATCAGGAGAGTGATTTATTTATATGCCAAGAGTATATGTCTTCTAAATGCATAGCCATTGCTTTCCAGTTCATCTTGAGAGGAAAATTCCATTTCATGTTAATTTATGTGTTTATTTAAGGTTTCCTATATGCATGCGCGTAGACAGCAGCATTTTCGATGGAGGATGGTTCAGAGGAATATATTCAGACCCCCAGAGAATGGAATGTTGTTGTCAGTTTTTCTGGGTCAAGGAGCACAAGTTTTCATAATGACATTCCTTTCTTTATGTGAGTACATTTAAGTATACCTCAAATGTTTGTAGTGAACTGCTGACATGTATTAGACTGATTCATATTTACAAAACGATTTTGAAAAATATATCCTAAACTTGAAGAAAATTTGTTTTGTAGTACTTATTTTTTTTAAAGTAACATTTTTTTTAAATTTTTAAAAATTATTTATTTAATAACAACATACTTAGATGTATTAGACATTCATATTTACAAAACGATTTTGAAAAATATATCCTAAACTTGAAGAAAATTTGTTTTGTAGTACTTATTTTTTTTAAAAAGACATTTTTTTTAAATTTTTAAAAATTATTTATTTAATAACAACATACTTAGAAGAAGCATATCATTACAACACAATTGACATATTCAATAACGGTTTCCT